TGTCTCGCACCTGCCGCCGAGCCAGGCGGCACCTGCCGCCCAGCCCCCTGGGCGGCAGGCTGCGCCCTCCCGGCGGCACGCTGCGCCCTGGACCCAGAGAAGAGTGCCTATAAAAGACGCATTTTCAGCCAGTGGTCGTGTGGGCCACGACCTGTTCTGTTTGAGGACGAATCCTTTTCGTCCCTCTCACGCTCCTTGCCGTTTTCTGACGCGCGTGTGTGTGTGATTTAATTTAATCTTTATTGCATTTTATGGTGATATGTGTATGTCGCGATCTAAATTAAATGATGAAATTAAAAATTAATTAATGATACGCGTATAGAGCTGTATGAGCGTAGAGCGCGTGTGAGTTGGTAAGTAAGGTGGTTTGCGACGATTAAATCAGGTGTAGTGAACGAAAACTGGTGTGCCTATTTAATTTTTAGCACTTCCATGCATACTTTCTTGTCTACTCTTCAATAATCTACTAAATGCATAAAAGCACATTCACATCATCATTTAAAAAGTAAACCGTCTTAAATTAATTTGATTAAGTCTTAAGATGCTGCGTGTGAGATTCAATAATCGTGGTATTAATATGATCGCGTGGACCAATATTACTAAGAGAGCCTAGTTAATTAAGTGATATCGCGTACGTGCCTATATAATCGTGGCATTAAAGCCTAAATCGCACATTTTGGCAAACTAATTGCCTAAATCAACACATTTTGGCCAAAGGCCTTAAAATCAACCATTTTGGCGTCAATCGCCTAAATCGCACATTTTAGCAAATGAATTGCCTTAAAATCAACAATTTTGGCTTAAAGCCTTAAAATCAACATTTTTGGCAAAATGCCTTAAAATCAATCATTTTCGGTCTAAAACCTTAAAATCAACCATTTTAGCGACAAATCGCTTAAATCGACATTTTTGGCAAAATGCCTTAAAATCAATCATTTTCGGTTTAAAACCGTAAGGCTCAAAGCCGTAAAATCGACATTTTTGGCAAAATGCCTTAAAATGAACCAATTTTCGGCCAAAGGCCTAAAATCAACGATTTTAGCGACAAATCGCGTAAAATCGACATTTTTGGCAAAATGCCTCTAAAATCAACCATTTTCGGCTCAAAGCCGTAAAATCGACATTTTGGCGACAATCGCCTAAATTACACATTTTAGCAAACGAATTGCTTAAATCAACACTTTTTGGCTCATTTTGGCTAAAAGCCATTAAAATCAAACATTTTGGGCAAAAACATGCCTTAAAAACTCAATCGATTTTTGGCAAAAACGCCTAAAGTCTCATGCACAAAGCGTAGTGATCTCGACACTCATGCACAAAGGCAACGACACTCATGCACGAAGCCATCACACATCAGTGCTGTATGATGCATAACACCAAAATTGCACAAAGCATACACAAAAATGCATTAAGCATACCAACAAAATTCATGCACTAGAGGCAGAGCAACACACCCATAGCATAAAGCATATTCATTCAAAGCCCTCTAAAAAGAGTGCCTATCGAACTACGTTGACATTTGATCTTTCATTGCAAAGTTGACTTTGATCTTCCATTCAAATGGAAGTACGTAGGCACGTTCGGGATTTCACCCCGGGTGGCAAGTCGAAATCACTTAAACATTTCATTGATCCATCATTCACCCTTGCAAAACACTCATTCATCGGTTAGTTTATCAGCATGACATAGTCTCGGGATCCACCTCGATTTCGTAGATTGTGCCTTAATCATTGGGATAATTAATCTAGTAACTAGGTTAATTAAAAATGGAGTCATTCAGGTTTTTTTCCTAGTTTACCCTAAAATAATTAAACAAGGTGGCGACTCACACACTCACTGAGCGCGAGTCAGCTTGGTGCGTCTCATTCATCATATGCTTCAGCATGCCTGACTGACATGTGTGTGTGAGTAGTGTTCACAAAACTAAGGTAATATCATTTATCGCTATGCGTGTATCGTGTGCCACGGTCAGCTAGGAGGGGTTTTTTAGTCTTTTAGTCTTCAAATTAAACGGAAAAAACCAACTTTTTCGGGAGGAATTGACCTTTTTAATTAGACGGTGTGTTTTAAACCTGATGGGGCACTGATGATAGTATGAGCAAAACTGGATTTAGTGTGTCGGAGGTGAATTATGTAACTGAGGCGACTAAATAAAAGAGTTAAACCTGAGGGACTAGTTAGATATTTGAGCAAAACTTGGGATTAGTTGGATAATTATGTAAAACTTGAGGGACTAAATAATAAATTTCCCTAATATAATTAACCTTTTAATAACATCATATATTTTTCAACATTTTTATATAATTAACTAAGATATTAATAATATCATTAATATTATTTTAAATCAATAAAATTTTCAGTTTCTTCTTTTTTTAATAATTAATGAATTAATAATATTATTTAACAATTCCTCAATGAAAATTTTAAAATCCTTTTTCTTATACTATTAAAAATTTTGTAAAGTGAATATGAATAAAAAAGCACTAAAAAATTTAAACCTTAGAATCTATAATTATTAAACTAAAGATTTTTTTATTGATGCAATAAAAAATGAAATATTTTATTCTATTATCTATTCAATCAAAACAATGTAATTTTGAGAGTGGATTAATTTGATTAATTCGGTTAAATTAACTTTTAACCGAGAAATTTTAATTTTTTTTACCGAACTTTTAACCAAACATTTATTCACCGAACCAAATTAGCCGAATTAATCGAATTAGCTGAATCGAATGCTCACCCTTAGACCATACTATATTTTTCTCTTTATATAATATTAATGACTAGGATTGTGCAAAACTACCATCCAAATGGAACCAAATCATTTTGATTCGATTCGGTCATCTTGCTCAAAGGAAGTTCAAACTATCGATTTTGAATCGGAATTACTGTTTGGTCTGACTTGGTTTTACATAAATTAATCAGCTAAGCTTAAAATCGAATCGATATGGCAAAAAAAAAAAAAAAAAAAAAAAAAAAAAAAAACCCAATTGAACTAATGTTTAACATGCTGATAATTAGGGAGGTGCGCGATGGTCGAGTTGGAAATGGAAAATTCTGGTAATTTTCATTATCCATCCAAAATACGAAAGGATGTAAAAAAAACAGAGTTTCAATTCCGTCCCAATAGAATGTCACGGTCTCATTTCATTCCATCTTATTTTTTGTTGACACGGGACAGGAATTCAGGTTTATGAGACATGATATAAGGGGTCGAATCAGGAATAAAATCGCGACTTTCCAAGTCTTTACTAGATATCTTTGCATAAAAAAAAAGATAAAAAAAAATTATTATATTCATCAATTAGAATCAAACAAAAGTGTCGTATTGTATAATAAGTTTGGGTTTATAAAAAGAATAGGATAAAAAAAAAAAAAAAAAAAAAACCAATTGAACTAATTGGTTAACATGCTGATAATTAGAGGTGCGCATGGGTCGAGTTGGAATGGAAATTCATAATTTTCAATTCCATCCCAAAATACAAGGATGTAAAAAACAGAGTTTCAATTCCGTCCCAATAGATATGTAGTCTCATTTCATTCCATCTTATTTTTTGGGACACGGGACAGGAATTCAGGTTTATGAGACATGATATAATGGGTCGAATCAGGAATCAATCGGGACTTTCCATAGTCTTACTATATTATTTTGCATAAAAAAAAAGATAAAAAAATTATTATATTCATCAATTAGAATCAAACAAAATTCTTTTATATAAGTTTGGGTTTAAAAAATAATAAATTAAATGATTAATTCAATCATTGATGATCTACTATTAAAGTTATAATAGAAGATTTTTAAATACTTATGTTTTAGTTAATAAAAATTTTAAATATAATAAAATAAAATAATGCAAAATTATATGCAATTTAACTTTATATATATTTTATGAATTTTAGCTCGTTATTATTTTTGTCATTGTTATCTTTAAGCTGATTTAAATTCGATACTATATAATTTAATCTAGAATATCATTTGTAAAATAAATAATAATAGCATTAAGTATAACCAATAATCCAACAATCTAATGAATTGAACTTACTATTTTCTCTTGTATTGATTAATCTTTTCCTTTTTAATTTAATAAAAAAATATATTTATTAAAAAAAATTTATTGAACATATACTGTGAAATAACAGAGGAAAATTTTATGTTGAAAATTATGTTTGTTACTTGATTTATTTTATATTTAAAAATGCATATTATTTTTTTCGTATTATTATTATTTTAGTAGTAATTGGTATTATAAAAAATACTAAAGTAAAAAAGATGAAATGATGTTTAGGAGCATAATTTGAAATTCATAAAAAAAAACTAAAATTTTTTAAAAAGAATGGGACGGAAATTCCTGATTTTTGGACTAGGACAGGATGGGATAAAATTTGGATCGGTACAAATCGGTTTTAATCAAAGAATCAGTCCCGTCTCGACCCGTCGCATGAATACTTTTGGGACGGGATTTGGGATGGAACTATGAAATTAATATCGACTCGAGATAAAAAATTCGGGACGGTTTTCGAGAATGGGTCAGGATTCCCGCAGTCTTGTGCACACCCCTACTTATAATCATTGGTATATCCCTTCACTTAAATTTTTTGGTCGAATCAGTGTATGGGCTAGGTTTAACTAGGGGGTCATTTAACAGAATTGGTTCGACTAGATCTGACCGAATAAATTTCCTGCCAACTAAAATTGTATCGAACACTGTGATAATTGGTTTGATTTCAAATTGAATCAGGTTAGTTCGAGTTTGGTTCGGTTATTCCAAGCTAAATAATATATTTTGGGTGTAAAAATTAATTCGATTAGCTAGGAAAGTAACCGAATTGAAAATTGAAAACCATTCTAATATCCTATTTGAAATGATCGGATAACCGATCTCTAAAAAACCTTGCCGAATCAAATGTCGGTTCGGTTCCGTTATTCTGTCTGGACCGAATTCTGCTCGCCGGTATTAACAACAGTGCCGTTTTATGTATATCCAGGGAGTGTTTGGTGGAGATAAATGTAATTGGCTCCTGTGGATGCGAGGAATTTCCTTTTAGGCCCCCTATTAACTTTTAACAGTTCCTTCCCTTCTACGGTTGCTTTCCATGATTCTATACTCTCCCTTGTAGCTCCCTCGTTGTATCTGTTTCTCCCCAGATTGTGTTAATTTACAGCATCAAATTCATAATATTTAAGGTATTTTCTCATATTATTATATGAATGAATCTGGTTATGACTTTTGGTTGATCTAATGTGGCTGAATTGTTACTGTAATATAATCGGACTTGAATTTTAGAATAACTCTTTTGCTTGTGTGAATTTCTGCAATTCTTATAGATGCGAGATTGATGCTGTTCTCTCATAAGCTTTTATCGTTTGATCTCCTGTTTACTTCTTCAAGTTTAGTTTGAATCCCAATGTGACTGTTTCCTTTTAGCTTTTAATTGAATTTATTTACCTTTTTCAAGGGGTTATTCTTAAACTGAGTTTTGGGGTTTTTTCTAGTGTGAACTAGTTCTTTGAGAGAATTGTCTAAATGGATTCAAGTTCGAGTCAACCAGAGTTTGATTACTTGTTCAAGTTGTTGATGATTGGGGATTCTGGTGTTGGGAAGAGTAGTCTTCTTTTGAGTTTCACATCTGATACGTTTGACGATCTCTCTCCCACTATTGGTAAGTGCTATTTGTAATTTGCTGTCTACTGTAGTATAGGATTCAAATTGTTCCTCTTGTACATGGAATCTAATGTATTGATATTATTGCAAAGCTAGAGATAAATGAATTGGCACTAACTTGATATGCGTAGTTCTTTTTCTGGTTTTTCTTCTTGGACTTCAACTGATGAAATTAAGGTTCAAACCTTTAACTTTATATTTTTGTTTTCGACATTGTTGGATTGGAACAAAGCAAACTGTTGTTTTCTTCTTGTTATATTTTGGTTTGATAAAATGGTTTTCTCTACATATAAAATGACTAGGAAATGCTTTAAGTGAGAGTTACCTTTTATAATATTTTATCTTTGAGAAATAATATATTTACATTTAAATTCGTTGTTAAATCTTCAGAAATATTCTCTTTCCTCTAGCTATTGAGTTATGCAAAATTATAATATATTGGAGTGTTATCATCACATTTTCTTTGTGGAAACCTGATTTACAAGTGTTTTCTTTCTTTAGTTTCTCATTCTGTTATTTGGTCTTCCTAAGCAGGTGTTGATTTTAAAGTAAAATATGTCAATATTGGGGGCAAAAAGCTTAAACTTGCAATTTGGGATACAGGTAATCTCAACTTTGTGCTATTATGATACTTGTCTGAGGTCGTGGCTATTTGTGTTAATCTCACACTTTACTTTTATATCATATCATAATGCATGTCTAATCCATGTCAAAATGTTGTACCTTTGTTAGCTCTGTGGTAGTAGCAGTATATGAGAAATCTGTTGACTGTTTAACTAAATTATATTAGTATTATTTCATATGTGAAGTTGCTTATTTATTTATTTTTGTAAGATTCACTCTATCAAATTGCAATAGCAAGCTGCAAATTAGGAGTTAGACCTCCCTAATGCTAATTTTATTGACTTCTTCACGCCATCAAACCACATCATAATAAAAAAACAAAATTTTCATCAAGTATAACCTCTGTTTTCAAGCAATCAGGATCACCTTGTCCCCCCACAACAAACTACCATATGCCATTGTGATTTTTATTCTGTATCAGGACTAACCGCAGCTTGCTTTCCTGGTTGCTGGGGTAACATGCATAGGGATTTCCGGGTTAGACTAACCCATTTCGCAAAAAGTAAATCTAAAAAGTTGCAGTAATGTTTGTAATTACTCTGGCAGCTGTGATTTAAAAAAAGCAAACAAAAATTCAAATGAAGAAGTTGAAATTGATTACTTCATCCAAATAGAACTGAGATTCAGATATCTTGTAATAGAGGGCTCTGGCAATGCCATGGCTGAAGTTATATTATCTAAGTGAAGTAGTGTGTAAATTTCCAGTTGTTTTGCAGCTCAGTTTAGCATGACTTACCATCTCAGGGGCTTAGTATTTTGCTACCTTCTTATGTTTGTTTAATTATGTTCTAAGGGTTCTTTCTTAACTTATTCTTCAAGAAAACTAGTATTTTGTCTTTTCGAAGTCTAACCTAATGATGCTGTGTGTTTCATCATGCAGCTGGTCAGGAACGATTTAGAACACTGACGAGTTCGTACTACCGAGGTGCCCAAGGGATCATCATGGGTATTTCCCCTTTCTTTGAAATCACAAATTAACAAAAAATAATCTTAGAAGCATCAATCTATCTACCACCAAGAAAAGGAATCTAGAGTGAGCAGAAATTGGAGTAAAAAATTCATAAAATGTTAGTAAATACCTGATCTGGTTGGTGGAAGTGAAGAAAGGATATCAGCAGTTTGAGATAACATTTCTCTGATTGGGTTAAGAAAAGCTTGAACTAATATCTATAATTCTCAACATTTCAATTTGAGATCAAACTATCATTTTTGAATTTTCTAGACAATTTAATTCATTTATAATAATAAGAAAGAAAGAATAGAGCTTATTTAAACTGTCTAAATATCAAATAAAGTAAGAATTTCAAAGTTAATGAATTGACCTAAAATTAAGAAAATATCCAAGACAGGAGAAAGAGGGGGGGGGGGACATTAAAGAAAAAAGGTAGAGATCGAAATAGTTCACTTTGAGTATTGTTCTTTGAAATTGAAATTGAAAAAAAAAAAATAAAATAAAATAAAAGGGAAAACACAAACAGCTGAAGTATTTGTTGAAGGTCATAGGTCTTGGCTTGTTAGAGGCATTAGGCTTGTGCCCTTTGTGCTTGCGCCTTTAACAACTATTGTACATTGAAGTTTGCAAATTCATTGCAATGGCTTATCTTTACTGCATGTGTAGGAATGTCATGTCGAAATTTAAAGGGTGTTTACTAGTTCACACTGATGTAGAAATATGGATGGAAAATTTCTTTAAACTAGCATTTTGCTTTGTTTGTGAGGTCCATTGGTTTAGATGTCATTGCATGATATTTTCTTGTTAAACAGTTGTATTCTCTTTGATGTGTTTGGAGGCCGTAATTTTGCCAAAAGAAAAGTGATTCTGTGAATTTTTCCTTTTTCATCACTTTGCCGCATAGCACTACCTTTTTTTTTTTTTTTTTTTTTTCCTAAAAAATCAGGCTCAGCTGTTAAGGGTTGGATGTTATTGGAGCTTACAGAAGTGTAATTACATTATTTTGAGTGGATACCCCAAATTACTTCATATGAAATGTTTTTGGAGCTTTTAGTAAATTGACCCCACTACAATTGTTCAAAAACTATGTTGAGGTGAGTTTTTAAATTGTTTATAAATTTTTGTTTCCAGCTCTAAAGGCTTGGGATCTCTGTGAGAAGATTTCAAGTTAAAATCTCTCCTAAAGTGTTTAGGAAGGAGGAAGCTAATCTTCAAGAAAGACTTTTTGATTATTCAAAATTCATTCATGTAGCCTAATTATTTTGTTTTCCATAATACATTAGTTTATTTCAAATTCTGATAGTGATTAAAACTTTGAATTATATGCATATTCTTCTTGTTATTTATTGATTTATTTACATAATTATTTATTCCTTTTTTTTAAAAATTATATCTTGAATTAACTTATTACATAATTGACACTAGAGAAAAAAGTTTTTGGCTGTCACTGAGCTTATATAACAAAGAAATTCGGTGCAAACTATAATTGATCCATGCCCGATTTGCATTGCAAACAAAGTTCTTAACTTATGTTTGATTGTGGGAGAAACTGCATCCCCTTCCTTCAGTACTTGTTTTTGTTTCCATTGATAATGGGATCTGTGATTAAAAGTCCTATTTTAAACAATTACCTATTTGATTACCTTCGCTGATCTTTTTAGGGCTTACATTCATTTAGAACTATAAATTTTTCAAAACTGTGCTTTTGATTAAGGGATAGCTGAGTGGTCAATCTTGCACCAATCATTTTGGTTACATAAATTAGAAACAAAAAAATCATTAAGATTCTGCTCATTTCAGTTTTTTTACCATATTTTGAAAACATGATTTTGTTTCCTGTTTAGCTTCTGGTGGTATGTTTGCACCAGTTGAGCTGTGAGGTCCTATTTGGAGATATACCGTGACTTAAAACTCTCTCATTCTACTTGCTAAAAATGCCTGATTTTTTTTGTTGATTAACAGTTTATGATGTAACACGACGAGAAACATTCACTAATCTTTCTGATATATGGGCCAAGGAAATTGACCTATACTCAACAAATCAAGATTGCATCAAGATGCTTGTCGGAAACAAGGTTGACAAGGTAATTTTTTGAGATAAGGATGTGACGATATCCATAGTAAATATGGCTGTTGCTTATTATTTTATCTCTTCTTTCTTTTCCTTTTTTTTTTCCTCTAAGTAAAAATGAAGAGGGGAAATTCTTGGGACCTTTATGCAATATCTTGTGCTCTGTTCTCTGTCTTATACATGTTTGCGCGCTTATGTTTCTTATCGATTTCAACTAATGGCCCTATCATAGCTGTTTTGTGCTTATTCTCTTTGATTCTTACAAATAAACTTGTAATGGTAATATGTGCACGAACTCAACTAACAATCTTATTACCATACTAGTTCTAAAATTGATTACAGTTCACCTCTAACCATCTTTATCCATGCTAAATCTGGATATATGGTAGAGTCCCTACTTATGGATCGAGTTATGGGTCGGTGGGAAGTTGGTGTTTGGGTGTTTAGGCTAGGGGTTTTCCTTGAACGACCTATGGTGGAAGTTGAATGGACCCTGATATACACTTTAGGGAGTAAGCATCATGGACTGGGATGGGCAATATTAATATATTCTTGTTCTATCCTATATCTCTTCTTTGTGCGCGTCTTTTGTTATTTTGCTCTAGAGTAAACCAAAAAGAGAAGCGGTTGGTTCCTTGGAATCCCTCTTATGGTACAATTATCCTAGGTGCCATCATGTTATCTCTGGTCTTGATGATGAACAAGTTGAGTGGTATTCTTGGCGCCGGTCTATTGTCCGTCTCTCTTTGATGCGGAGATTATCAAACCTCATTAGGCGCCTATCATACCCGTGGTGTGCTACAATTATATTGTTTGTCAGTATCTCGTCCCTCCTTGAAATATCTCCCTTCTTGGTCAAAATAACTTAGTACAATACAGCAATACTCTGCCAACTGGAAACGCTGCGTCACTAACCCCAAGGTCTCAGTTAAATTAATCTATACTTAGTCTTAATTGTATGATTTACAGCTCTCAACCCCTTCGTTTAATTAGTGTCTCCCTGTTTCAAGGGATTTTCTTTTTAATCCCCTCCATGGAAGGAATCCTGGGGTAAAGTGGAGACGTGTCGAGAGGTGCCTTCATACCTCTCGCGGATTCGAATTAATGGTCCGGTTGGAATAGTTTAAAGAGCGCTCGACGAAGCTCAGTCATCCCGTGCTGTTGTGTTTGACGATTTGTAGGTGTTCTTGGTGCTCTATCGGACTTTTCTCCAGGGGCTTACGTGTGAACCGCGATCGGTATGGAGTTTAGTGATAGGTATTCCCAGCACAATCTGCTTACCGAGGAACTCAGTTTTCTACACGACGAGACATGTGTGACTCTATTGGCCCAGTCTGACTGGTATAAGTATGAGCTGAGTTTTTCAATTTCATCTTCACCCTACCAAGATTTCAATGATATCGCTCATCGCAAATCTTTCACACAGCAAATGGCGCCTAGCCCATTAACTTACCCCTCTCCTACTCTAATCAATGCGGAGTGAGCGAGAATCCTTTTTACGTGGAGGAGGACATCATTCTGTCTCCATCCCTCCTGGGTGCCCTTCTACTCAATAAAGAGAAAGTGTGGAGAGACTAAGGCTGCCTTATCTCATAAGACAGTGGAAAATTACCGCGTGGTACGAAAGAAACCACAGCCAATCTGGAAGATAATAAAGCTTTCTATACATGTGCTTAATAAATGTGGTGACCTATAGCCCTGGCGAAGTTGTTAGAACGCCTTCCAGTGGTTTTAACTTAGTCAACCTCATAATTGTTAATATAACTACCCCTCTAAAATTCCGTTGAGGGTTTTGGATAATTGGTAGTAAATATTTCTTATTTTATTTAATTTAGTTTATATTATCTTAATAATTTTCTAAATATCCAAATCTTTTTATTACTTTAATTAATATTATTTTTATATTATGTATTTTATTGAAGATACAGTATGATATTTAATATCTACCTCAATTTAGTTAGGCGGAAATGCACAATCCATTACGTTAGTCGGACTAAGCCACCCTCCTAGGTACAATTAACCTGGTCTTTTAATATATGGTATATTTAGACGGTGAAAATTAAGACCCAAATTTTTGAACTCTCGCAGTCGAGATTATATGAGTATTAAGAAAATTCAATTAAAACTGAGTAGTATAAGGATTAGTCTGTATTCTTATTTTTAAATCATGTTACTACCCTTTTATGTGTACTTAAATCATAACTAGAAGTTAAACTAATAACGGTGTCACTAGGCAATTACTTCGGAATTTCACTCTCCTACATAACAGGAAATAAACAGAAATGCTAAACAGAATTTGAATGACTAATTCAACAGCTCAATATGTGGGGGCTTAGGCCTGCGTGTGTAGACCTTCAGTTGACTGCTAACAATATACTACCCAAATCCGTTTTGTTTGATTAGGAATTCATAGTAACATTTTTCTTAACAACTTCTACTAATAATTTGTATTATTATATAATTGATAATCCTATAGAAGAAATCTTTGAATAAACCTTTTATTTGATAAGGTATTTAACAATTTGATTAAATATGTATAGAAATAATTTAGGTAGTAGGTATCTGATATATTATACACCTACCTGGTACCTACCCAACTAACTAAAAGGGCCAATTACTTCTGAATTCATACCTGGTACAAACTTGTTTATAAATACTCAAACTTTATATAACCAGATCAGGTACTTAAAAATAGCATACTGCAATCCCTGACACACATCTTTTTCATTGTCATTGATTGCTTGTTTTAGTTGATAGTACTTATATATGGATTGCCAATATATTCAATTTTTCTATTAATTTTAGAGTGAATAAAACTGAGGACTCATTTGGTAACTGGTTGGAGGGTCAATGTTATTAGCTGTGAATTTGAACTTTTTGGTATTTTCCGTTTCTTCGGATGATATGATGGGTCAATCATTTGCTTCATTGGTTCCAACGTTGGCAGCTGCGGAATCTGCTATTGGGTTAGCCATTTTCGTTATTACTTTCCGAGTCAAGTTGTTTCTAAGAATCTACTATTTTTTGGATATTAGTGAGGATATAGCTAGGAACAGAACAGAATGGAGGAAAAAGTTCATGTAGCAAACCCTAGTTAGTCGTTGCCTGTTTTATACTTTGTCCTATCTATTAATATATCAAATGATTTTAAAATTCCTCCTCAAATATTTTTTTACAAAAAGTATTTTAAAATTCTTTTTGACTTATACTTTGATTTGCATTGATATTAATTTGATCAGAACTGATATATGAGACAAAAGATTCATATAATCGATCCAATTAGTTTTCGGACTAAGGCTTGGTTGTTGTTGACAATGGTCTAAGACAATGTTGGCAGAAATGCAAAGTGATTTTCTTTGGTTTATCATTATAGAGTGAAGAAAGATGAGACTAATTAGGTACGGTAGTTGTTTTCCCCCTCGAATGTGAATAAAAATTCAATTATTAAGATATATTCATTTTTGTTATTTGAAGTTCTAAGATCAAGTTGGCAGAATAAGAGAAAACCATGAGATGTGAATTTCTTTCGTATTATCAAATCCATTTTCCAATATACTAACTTTTAGTAGAAAAACCAAAACCAAAAACCATCAATAGAAATGATACTAAAGAATAGTCCCTAAATTGTCTATGCCATTCTTTTAAACAAAGAGTGAATTACTATTTAGATGCCTGGTTATACTCGAATACTAATTTAGGACCTTTATTTTCAGAATTTGAATTATATAATTCCGCAATTTTATTTTTGTTACACTATTTAATCCTTCTATTAGTTTCCCCCAAATTCATTGTTAATCAGAAGGATTAAGTAATCAAGGTACTATATAACTAAATTTTAAAAATAAGGGTGCTAAATAGTGTATTTGAATATGCCTGGCTGATAGGCTAAATAGTAATTCACCTTTTTAGGCGTTTTCACAAGTCACACAACTAGCATGTGCATTCATTAGGTTTATTGACAATGGGACAAATGAAGGAACTAAATTTTGAAAATAAAAGCCCTGACTAGTGTATTTGAGTATAATCAAAGGACTAACTATTAGTTTCCTTTTAAACGAATCTCAAATAGTTCAGGCAAAAATTGCAAAATTGAAAGAATTAGCTAAAGTTTAACAAACACATAAAAAGTTTGGATTTTTTTATTATTTATCCTTCATTTATCGCTTGTAGTGTAAGAGGTAAAAAAGGTATAATTTTGTATGAGACATGTATATTGTTTGAAGTTTAATGGGAAGAAAAACATTCAAGGTATTAAACCACATGATGAAATATTTTTATCTGTATAACATTTCAATCTGATCTCTCTCTGCTGACAATCCACATATAAGTTTTTGCCTAAGCAAGAACTAATGATTCCATTTATTATACAAATGAATGCTGTTTATGTAACATCTGCACCAGATGAGGTGTTAGCTTGAGATGTTAACTTATCCCCAGATGAATCCCACATCAGCTAAGCACAAGGTGGAAGTGGTGTATATAAGGATGGGAAACTTTAGACTAATAAGACATGTTTTGGGCTTTGAGGTGAGGCTCTGGCTCAGGAACAAAACTGAGCAAGCTGGGTCCAAAGCAGACAATATCCTGCTAGGCCTGAGATGTTACAGACTTGGCGTCAGAGCCAAGCCTTGTCTATGGCTGGTGGTGGGGCAAACCTCAACAAGGACGCAATGTCCCATTGAAGGGGAGGCGGGATGAAGTGTTAACATCTGCACCAAATGAGGTGCTAGCTTGAGATGTTAGCTTATCCTTAGGCGAATCTACATCAGCTAAGCATAATATGGAAGTGATGTACATAAGGATGGACAAGTTTTAGATTGGTAAGACGTATTGGCTTAGAGGTGAGGCTCTGGCCTAGGAACAGAATCGTACAGGTTGGACCCAAAGTAGACAATATCTTGCTAGGCCTGAGATTTTACGGTTTAAATGTGATGCAAGTCTATATTCTACAACTCTTGGAGCAATATTGAACATTTCCATTTAAACTTGATAATATTAAGTACTATTGACTTGCTGTACAATTCAAATGCTTAGAACCTTTTTTTTTTGGCATGTTGGTGATGAGAATTCTTTTCTTTGGGTTAGTTTTTGCTTCTATTGTCTCTCATGTGTGCCTTGTACTTCTCCTGATAACAAGGCTACTAATTAATGAATTAACTCTTATCTAATGGAGTCAGGATATGTTTTGTTTTACAATTCTATTCAGCACCTCGATTATTGTTTCATATCCTCGCATGATACTAGCTTTTAGATGATATTCAACACACTATGGTCATAGTTTATCTATATATACTTCTCACCATATACAAAGATCAATTTTTTAGCTCTGATGTTCTCCCTTTTCCCAATTTCAGGACAGTGAAAGAGTCGTAACGAAAAAGGAGGGCATAAATTTTGCCCGGGAATATGGATGCCTTTTTCTTGAATGTAGTGCTAAAACTCGGGTGAATGTACAACAGTGTTTTGAAGAGCTTGTTTTAAAGGTACAGAAGATGTCAGCACTGCTTACTTCTTATCGTCTTTTTCAATTAGGCTGTTATTTTAGTTACATATGCTTCTATGTTTGCTTGCATTGGAAAATGATAATTTTAAGGTTGGTGTTTGAACTATTTCAATGTTTCTTTTTTCGATTAGGTAAGTCTGGTAAAAAATTTCTTGCTGAAATACAGAGATGAATTATTTTATCCCGTCCTTCGTGCCAATCATTTTGTTGAAATTGTTTCATTCTCTTTAATTTTGTTGAAATTGTTTTCGGAATGTGAAGGAAAATTAGATTGAAATTTTCAGATTTTTCAAACAAAAAAGAGAGAAGATAATGGAAAATGAAGAAAAATGAAGAAAAAGGAGATAATGAATGTTTGTAAGCGGTAGTATTTATTGTATAAAATGACCTATTCTGATTACTATATAACTATCTCATTAGAAATGAATGTCCATGTAATTTTTTATTAAATGCTATTATGTGAAAATTATGCAATTCACTATGTGTGGATGAATATGGTTTGAACTCTTTCATATTTTTTCCATTTAAAATATGAACTCTTTCATTCTTTCATTATGCAGATTTTGGATACTCCTAGCCTCTTAACCGAGGGTTCGAAGGGCTTGAGAAAGAACATCTTTACAGAGAAGCCACCACAATCCGATGCGTCAACAAGTAGTTGCTGCTGATGCTTTCTCTATATTGCAGTTTCATATCCTAACTGAAGAAACCATATTCTTTTTTGTTTTTCTGGTGACATGAAAATTACATGTAATATAAAAATCTTGTGATGTCTTAAAATATTTGTTTTATGCACATTGAATTTCAGTCGTGATGACAATTGAAGCCCAAAACTAATCACTGTTAAGAAATAAGATGAAATCGTTTTAACATATCTTAATTATTTTTATCGGTTTTGTGCAACATTTTACTGGCTTAATGGGGACATTAATCATTAATGTTGCTTTCAAAACTATGAATCTTGTACTAAAACCACAATGTTAATTGGTGGCTTCTATCCAATTTGAAAAAAAAAAAAATCTGCATAGGAAATAATTAGTAAAAAGTAATCATAGAAATAAATAATAATTTTTTTAATTAAAGTATACAACTCATTTGTGATTTCAGTACAAATATGACGTGTGATCATAATCAGCAAGTATACAAAAGAATGATATTTTGTTAGCCAAAGAATACTATTTTGTTAACCAGATTAAATGATGGCTTTTTTTAAATAATCGAAGTACTTTTTTGCTTTGAGTTGAACTTTTAATTATATTAAAAATGTATTAATATTAATAATTAACACATGAATTAATTATATTAATGTCTACCTTTGTCCTCTCTTACTACATTTTGGACGCCTTCTATTATGATGCAAGTTTCAACGTACCGCATTTTATTTAATGTCTTAATATTCTTCTCCATGCTCAATGTTATATTGACACTCATGTGAGGAGTTTAAAACAAATTCACATATAGTTATTGCAAACTGGAAAAAAGTGGGAGACCAAATGAGGTAATGATGAGAACGTGTGTCAGTGGATCTTTTGGTAACTACTTCTGCAATTTATAAAATGAGTGAAGGAATGATGTAGAAGGCTCAACCAAATTATCCGACGAATTCATCAAAATCAATTCTTCAGCGAATTGATCAATTTACTTAACAACCTTGTCTTTATTTTTCAAGCATTGTCTATTTCCTTTTCAATCTAATTACAAGCTCTCTTTTCAATACAAACAATCAAATTCCCTTTACTTTACAAGCAATCGAAGCTATTTTTTTCATAATTTTTTTTACTCAACTTACTTTAATCGAACAATTGGTAAAACGTATATTCATGGATGCAACCCACACTCTAGAAGTTAGATTAAACGCATTCAATTTTACAATTGATGTACTAATATATCTGGCACACCCGCAATTTTCAATTCAAGTTGTTAGCCAGTCGTCGAAGATCCGTTGGCTCATTTTCCTTTGTGACCAATATTCTTTGGTGGCATGTGCAGCGAGACGCTGTTGTGCATCCCAACCATCTTTCATTTGAGTTTTAAGAGAAATCTATCATGACTCGAAAAAAATCATTTTGTTGTTGAGAAAAAACTGTTACTGGATCTCTGGATTTGGATGGAGGATTACGAAATAGGACTTGGAAGTCTTGAAAGAGGAGTGTCTCTTCGTGAAGAAGGAGAAATCAACTCTTTTGCCAAAATCCCACAAAAATTGCATTTACCTCGACTAACGACCTTAATAAACATATAGGTAAAATGACTTCTGTTTATGATGATGTTCTCATTAACTTTATTATTTTGATCTTCATAGAGAAGGTCACTAGAAAGAAGATTGATGATATAGACTCACTTTATTCAATCTCCTATTAGGAAGTCCTCTACTAAGGTGGAGATTGAAACTTCATCCAAGTGCACCAAGGAACTCGAGGAACAATCGCCTCGAAGTCCTTTGGGGACACTACCACTGGTCATGCTCTTGCTGAAGAGAGGTATCAACCACCACACAAAAGAGCTGGATCGATGCACCACCCATCAAAGGCGCCACTCCAAAAAGGTTGCTCCACTGATAGGCCCATAGTAACTCCACATATTATTTTTGGAACTATTAGTTTGATGACTCACCTTGGTGTTTATGAGGCTGAAGCTTCTCATGCTCCTTAGTTGTTGATAGGTGCAGAGAGAAGTCAGGGAGCTAAAGGAGTCAGTTTTACCACAGTTCCCTAGAATATATATGTTAGTGTCACTATAATTGCTCAAGTGACAGGTAACCCCATTCCTCAAATTCCCTAAGTAACGATGGAGATTTTGAGGGACACTATGCAGCTGTATGGGCTTGGCCTCTGATAGGTTGACCGCCTAGAATTTGTGAAGCCTTATTTATAAACCATCGACAGAGAGAACCCTTACACTAGGGGGTACAAGATTTCAAACTTCACCTTATTTTCTAGGGAAGATAGACTGTTGATCTTAGAGCACATTGCTAGATTCACCATCCAATGTGCGAACTTGCCAATTTGGAGAATTTTGCTAGCTGTAAGCTTCGATTGTTTTCTAACTCCTTGACATATACAACTTTCACCTGGTATTCAACACTCTCAAGGAACTTAGTCAACTTACAATATGAAATAGAATATCTCTTACATACCTAGTTTTTTAGAGCTGAGCTAAAGGTTTGTGGGTGAATTGTCCAGACTGACATAAAGAAGTCGAGAGACGGCTGGATCATTCATAACAAGGTTTAAGAAGCTAAGGAACAAGTGTAAGGTGTTATTACTTGAACATGAGTTTGTCAAGATAGCTCAGAGAGGCTTGGACTTCAAGCTGAGGAAGAAATTCCAAGAGATGGAGTTTAGAGATTTTTATGAGCTGGCAACAAAGGTACCAGAATATGAGGAGCTACTTAAAGAAGAATCATAAAGGAAGAAAAGCTCAAGAGGGACCTATTATCAAAAGCTTCATCAGTAAATGATCATGGCTAACTTGGTGAATTTAGGTTACTGTGTGTGTCCAAACTTGGAGCTTTAATAAAGACAGCTCCTCAAAAGAAGAATTTCAACTCAGAGACTCAATTCACCTTTAATGTTATTAAGATCGAAGATATCTTCAATTTCTTGCTGAAGGAAAAATTTATGACTCTTCCATCTGGTCATAAGTTGTCAACAAAGGAAGAGATGAAAGGAAAGCAATACTATGATTCTTAGAACCATATTATTAATAGTTGGAGTTTCAGGAATGCTCTATAAGATTGCATTAACAAGGGAGTCTTGAAGTTCCCTAACAAAGAGCAGATACTGATAGATGATGATCCTTTCCCACTTGTTACATTCATCAATACTATTAAGTAGATCTGAGGAGTATCATTGAATCAATTGAAGCTGCAGCAATATTGTCAACAAAAGTTTCCAAGGAGAGTTGGTCCATGTATTGATTGCTTTCCTGCAAAGGCAAGAGTGGTTAAATTCAGCCAAAGTTTCAAAGGAACCAAGATTTGTTGCTTCCCAGCCTGTCAAACCTAACAAGAAGTGGATGATAATGCAGAGGAACAAAGCCTTGGAGAAGTGGAGGAAGGCAACTCTAGCTAGTTCCAATTATGGAATTAAGAAACATAAGTTATATCATAAAGCCATAGGTGATGGCGTACAATCCCAAGGAAGACCTACAGAGAAATAAGTTTTAGAAGGTAGCTTTTTAATTAAAAAGGTACCTTTGCCTTTTGATTATGTAGTTAAAGGAATAGTCGTGCCATTTGAGTTCTAGAAGTTCCCAAAGGAGACATGTGTACCTTAGGACGAAGCAACTTATGAGAAATTAGAGATATGCAGTTGAGTCATTATTCAATATTCCAAGCCTGAAGAACGAAAATGAGAAGTGCTTGAGAAGCCTGTAGAAAGTATGATAACCATTATATATCACTGCACACATTGATGGGAAACCCATTTCAAGGGTTGTTATAGACAATTGATCGTCATTGAACATAATGCCATTCAAAACACTATTAGCTATTGGGAGGATAAAGGAAGATCTTATAGCCACTACTATTTTAATGTTTGCTTTAATTGGTGATATGTCAAAAGCTATGGGAGTATTATTAATAGAGACCACAGTTGGTAGTAAGACGTCTTTGTCAGCTTTCTTTGTTGTTTAGTCTGCTGTTAGTCATAACGTGTCACTAGGAAGGAACTGGATTCATGCAAACTAGTGTGGTCATCCCGATACCAACAGCTAAATACGTAAGAACAATGTAGATGATACTTTGCCACATATAAAGCATATAAATAGTCAATTCCATAACAATTCATGAATAAGGTAAACATGCCTATTGATCATTCTTCTATAAATGTGTAAAGGGATTCACAACCTATAAACATCCATACAATTCCAACAACTATAAAAAAGCATAGTTAATATCTCAAATGCATCATACCAAAGTATTATCAAGGCAAAGTAGATAGACAATCAAGGTTTGTATCTTGGAATTTTTGCCAAGTCTACTGGTGGCATGAAATATCGGAGGAGTATGTTTTATGACTCTCTATCCAAGCTTGTACCTGAGAGGAAGCAATAGATCAAACAAACAAATGTCGGTGTGGTAGAAAACATACCTATGGAGTTAGGTGGAACATCTAAATCTTAATTAGTGAGAAGAGGAGATCGCGGAGCATATGACATATGACTTAGTGGAGTTGCCTCAACTCAAAAAAATATCTCTAGAAATAGTTGATGGAGAGGTTGAGGAATCAATAGCAAAAGTCTCTTGAGAGGTAGAAACTTCATATGTTTCTACAAGATCTATATTATAATAATGATTTAGTACCTCTGAGTCGTTTGTAAGTACCTCTAGCTCATTTGTTGTAATCTCCATGAAAAAGCATTTACAAATAAACAAGAGATCATAAAAGCGATCGACAATAAGGAAGGGTGCAAAGTTTAACAAAGGAACTTACTTGAATAATTGGTGCATTACAAATGGCATTGCCCAAGGAATTAGCAAATGAAGTAGTGAAACCTGTTACAAGAAAATTAAATGTACATAATTCAAATTTCAAATTTCTATTCATGTTAGAGGAACTAGTTTTTTTTCCCTAGTTAGAGTAGGAAAATATTCTCACTGGTGCCAAAATCTAGAAGAATGGTTGCCAGTGGAATTGATGCCGAAAATCTGGTGTCCGTTCCAAATTCTAGAATAATTTTTTATTAGGTTTCTATGGCTTTGATTCTCCATAAATTCACCAGAGACAAAATACAATACCGAACCATTCAATTCTCATTCACAAATTCATTGCCACCCCAAAGTACCCACTTTTCTATTATATTTTTTTTATCTAAAAAATATCTATATGCATCGTATATGGAGATCATTGTAATGTAGAACGAATAGGATGT